GGTTTCCCACCGCTGCCTTCAGCCGCCGTCGTTCAGCCACGCTTCTGCAGATGAGTGAACAGATTGTTGAACATTTCAGTTGCGCTGACTTTTTCACCTTACGTTTCCCTCACCTTCCTTCTCAACGTGGGAATTGAGTTAACAGCAAACCAATGTCAGAGTGTGCACAAGCGTTTTCTTTACACCACTTCTCGCATGTCAATTGTTTTCCAGAAGAGTCATCGGGGGTTATCGTTTTTTCCTTCCCTATCGTTTTACAGGGGATTGAGCATGCTTCCGGAAAAACGGACATGCGAATACTGTACTACTTTCTTACATGTGTTCACAGTTCACATGAGTCGAATGAAGCACACGGAGTGCATACGATCTAATTAATTATATATACTATATATATATATATAATAATACTTATACTGTATTATAATACATTCTGCTTCTATAATGATTCAACTCTGCGACATGACATCCAACTCTGTTGCTGGTGCTCACTGATAAACGCCAAATTTGAGCTTCCGCGCGCTCGTAGAGTAGTGCCATCTCATGCGCCCCTACACCAAAGCCAGCGTCCACGCGCAGGTCGTCACAGATCATCTGCACCACGGTTGGAGCACAAATGCAGAAACGCAGTTTGGAGGCGAAAATGCAATTTTAGTAGCTTCTTGTTACTACTAGTAAGGCACTTGTTACTAGAAGCGATGCACTTGTTCCTAGAAGTGGGAGTTATGGCCTATTAGCGTCCTTGTAGTATGGCCAGGAGCCCCGTTCGTAGCGTCCTTGCTCCTAGTAGCGATGCCAGGAGCCCCTAGTAGCTTCTTGTTCCTAGTTGGGGAGTAGAATATATCAAATTGGGCTTTGCAAATCTTAGCTATTGTTAGCTATTGACTGTCATACATTGGGATACCCTGTGCGTGCTGCCTGAGAAAGATCCGGCCGGGAACATTCCTTAATTAATGCCACATGCTGTTTGATGGTACAAAGGTGTGATGCTTCGTTGGCTTTGGTACAGAGGCCCGAAAGCCAACAAGGAGGGTCCTTCAACCGAAAGCAACGCAATCCAAATCGAAAAAGTCAGCAACATGCCCGAACATCGACTTGCGTGCGTTCACTCCTACTTCAACTAGCCGAGCCAAGCCTGCAGGCAGTGAACGAAAAAGCGTTGCAAACAACCTCTCTCTCTCTAAATGGGAGTGAACTTTTGTTGCCGTTCCCAGGCCGGGGTGTTTGAATATGATGCTTCGGAGGTATTCCTTGCGCGGTGCGAAGGCTAAAGTAGTAGCAATTCTAAAGTAGTAGTAAACGATGGTGAAGACAAACCCCGATACTTAATGAGAATTGAAGACGTGAGCAACATGTCTCCCTGCCAGCTCAATTTGAAAGGCTGCTGCTATCCTTACTTAGGTTCAATACAACTTGATGACAAATCATGTCTACTGAGTCTACTGCCTCCTACTTGATGACCAAACATAGTCCGTCACTGACCCACATCTCCCCACTTCCTCTGACTCTCTTACCCTGGTATTCTCGCCTTGTAGACCTCAAATGGGATGAGCTCTCCAGACGCGAAGGTCTGCAAGTCATTGCTCTCCTTAAAGACCAAGCATCCAACTGAACTACCATGGAGGTTCCGACTGAGCCTCAATTGTTTGGTGGAGTATTGGTGAGTAGAGCAACCACACCCTATACCTCAACCTCCAGACGAGGGTCTTGGAAGTTCAATCGCCCATCTCCATTCTGGTCGAACGCGGCCAAAATGAGCTCGATCTGGCCAGGCAAAAGGTGTTGTTCGTGCAGTGATATTGAATGGTAAGTTTACCGTAATTAACTATGTATATATACTATATACATCTATATACTGCAACATCTGCACGCACATATGATATAGATGGGCGTCATCTTGTCCGCAAGCTGCAAGATGTCCGGGCAGTGTCCTGGCCTTCTCAACGCTAGAAAGCTCTTCTGGAGCCTTCTCTCTGGAAGGACCTTCTGATGCTCCTGAAGTGTCCTCTGCCAGCTCCACACTGTGTGGACTCTGGACATCATCGATTGTAACCATCTCCTGAATCCCAACCCTCGCATCCCACGAAACAACCGTTATATATATATATATA